AAGCTGTCTTGGACTTTCCAATGTCCTATGGTATCAATAACCTTGTTCTTTCCTTTTTTGCTTTTTACCCCTTTTTTTGTGGGGCTCAGCTGCCTGGAGAAGCAGACAACGCCCTGGATGCTCTGTCTGACACCTTAAAGGATATTGCTCCCGTCCCACAGCCCGCCCCTCTTCCTACCAAAGACGTTGTCAAGGTAACTGTCGATTAACTTCTTCAACTCTCAGAAAATAGAGTCTGCATATAACATAGCTTTAATTATATGCGGGGTTTTTCCATTGCAGGAGAAAAAAATTGTAGAAGAGAAGTTGATTAAGATGGGAGAGAGGGATGACTCTCTGCCTCCTGAGTACCGGCCAACCGAGGAAGAACTCAAGGTAAAACGAACCAAAGTGCATTTACTGAACGTACTCTAGACATTAACACCATAGAGAGACAGTTAAAGGGGTCATTTGATGTGTTTTTTTTCTTTTTTTAAAGGAAGAGTTCTATGTTGTTCCCTTAGCAGAAAGATAGCAAATCATGTTAAAGAGCATCCTATTTCTGCCTCATGATGAAACTAACCGAACATGTTTGAAATGACTGAATACAACATTTTAATAGTAAATGTAAGCTCAGTGCATGTTAACATGATTGTGCTGCTAGTTTATTTGTTCAGCAATAGATCCACATATTACAAAATTTTTTTGCTGAAAACTTGCAGGCTCCATCTAAGCAACTCATACCATTATAATTATAACAGGATGAATAGGATAATTATAATGAGTTTTGTTTATATATATATATATATATATATATATATATATATATATATATATATATATATATATATATATATAGAGCCAGCAGAGTAGGAACCACAGAACATCTCAATGTTGTACAGAAACCACCAGAAGTAACGTCTCCAGAACCCCCCACTTCAAAATCCTTTACCAGTTTCCCTTTGTTTTTGCTTAATCATAAATTAAGGAGGTATCAGAAAACAGGGATTGAAAATTGCAAGTTTCTACAGATTAATTATACACAAACCAATGCTTCAATGCCTTTATTCCTGTGAATTGGGATTTTCAGCTTACGGCTGATAAAACTTGACATCTACCCATTTAGACAACATTTTCTGTGCAGAAATTTGAGTTAAAAAGCAAAAACAAAACAAAAAACGTATTCCTGCTTAAAGCTTTCTCTTTTAATCTAACAATAGCGTCCCTTAGAACACATTCTAATGTGTTGTCTAAGCATGACCCAACTGGAAGCAACATCATCCATTAATCATAAAGGGTTTTATACTGTGGACCGTAGAGTCGTGTCGACACTCTGCAGGTAGAAATGAGAGCCTGTGGACTGAGAATGGCCAACAACATGGAGTTGATCCAGCAGCCACAACAACACAGACATTATCCATCAGTGACTAAATCTAAATTCTCTATTACAGAGCAAACTTATACAGGTAGAATATTGTTAAATTGCTGAATAAGGAGCCTGTATCTGACCAACCTGTGCAATTAAACTTCTTTGTACTATGAGGGAAGTATTACTGAATATATCATTAAAGAAAACTTGAAAAACATCAGCTCTATGCCTTTAGTTTTCAACCTTTTTTTGTAAAACTTCAGTGCTTAATAGAGAAGCATCTTTGAACACAGTTGTTACTTTTGAGTCATATAAGTATCTTTATTTTTACTTTATTTCAAAGAAACTTCCAACGGAGAAAGCAGCTGCAGCACCCGAAGAGGTACAATCTTTAAAGAATAGATTAATAGTTAGCTCAAATGCATCACTTGTTGATTGGTATGGAAAGATTTTAACTCCAATTATTCTCCACCCTGCAGAAGGCTATGGATGACCAAACTGCCTTGGATCTGCTGTCTGGTGACCTCGCTACCACCCCTCAGCCTCCTGCACCGGTCAGCACATCCACCACCAAGCTGGAGCCTCCTGTTCTGGACTCGGAGCCAATGAAGGTAGCGGGAAAATAAAACTCCCTGTAGATTTCTTTAAACATGGCTTTTTTTTTTCTTTTTTTTTATTATGATGAATTTATTTGAGACCGCTTTTATATAATACTATCTTCCTGTTTTAAGATGTTGTTTGATTTTTGTTTTTTAGCCAATGTCTGGTGTTGCTCTGGACGCTCTGGCTGATAAACTGATCACAGACCCCCCACAGCCGAAATCTAAAACAGACAAGCCGAAGGTAAAATGCTAACTAATCAAAAAACATTACATTATACTGTTTTGTGATAATTTTTCCAGCATTTAACCACATAGAAATTTTATTTGATGATTTAAAAACGGCCACTAGAGGACGACTTAATTTATTTGTTTTGAGTTCATTCACTTATACTTAAGGCAGAGCAACCACCAGGGGCAGTGTTTACTGGATGAGTATAACCAAACTTAACTTTGTTGCAGGGCAAGAGCAAGTCAAAGTCAAAAGTAAGCAGAGGATTTTGTGCATGAAGGTCACCATTAATCTGAAGTTGCACAGAATATGCGTTTCTCTGCTTAACTGGGCTGGACACCACAGCTAAAACATTTTATTAAATATAAAGCAAAGTTGTTATGCGTCTGCAAACTGAGGCTCTTCTCACTCTGGGCTTTGCATTTGGGTTTGAGCATGTCCACCAGAAAGCTATAATAAATGACAATCTTTAGTCAGGGCAAAAGATATCTGATTTTCAAAGATCTGTATTAGTTGTTAAACATCTTTAGGGTGAACTTGGGGAAAGAGCTAGAACACTTCAGCATGACTATTTTAACCCAAAAATGAAAGCATTGTCACAGAGAGTAATCTGCAGTGTTCGCTAAGACAACAGAGAACAGTCATGGGGATAGTTTTAGGAAAAGATAAAGAAATTACAGTCAGAAAAATAGCATTCTACATTTATCGATGCACTATAAAAAAAACTTTAATCCTTGTTCTGTTAGATTTTCCCTTATCTGATGGACTTTATTAAATGTATTATTCAGTCAAGTTCTGGACAATCCAAATTACCTAGTTAAATTAATCACGTATTTTAAGGTACAGACCCATCTAGAAGTAGTAGGGCAGTGGAGTTGAACCTTTGATCTAGAGCCATATCAGATGGCAAAGTGAAATGTCTGAGTTATGAGTGCTAAACGTAGAGTATATATGTTTTTTTTTTTTTTTGTTTCCTAAGAGCAAACAGGAAACTTTAAAATGTATATCTAGATGTTTTTACTTTAATAAATTTTGATCAATAGAAGGAGAGAAACCTTTAATTCCTTTACACCTTGATTTAAAAATCGGTCCATATACAGTATATATATATATATATATATATATATATATATATACACACACACCTGCTGTGGCTAGTGTTTGTGTGTGTGCTGTGTTTGTGGCTAGGTGTCAAATGTTCTATCTGCCTTGTGCTTCAGCAACTAGGACAGAGCAGGCGGTATATACAAACGACATGCAAGCTTTTAGAGCTGAAAGCGGGTTATCACAGTCTTCTAGAATGACGTTATTTGTAAACTTTTTGCAAAATGTTACCTCCTTTTTTTTTTCATCGTTTCACAATAACTTCCATACAGAAACAAGAGACAAAACCTGCTGCGGGAACATCTGCTACCGAGGAGCTCTCGGCTCAGCTGAGCTCGGATGTTGTGCCCACATCTACAAAAAAGGGAGGAAAGAGCTAGTTCACTTGGTAAGCTGTGCTCCTGTCTTTGTAGACCATTTTCCTTGATGACCAAAATGCACTGACCGACTGTTTCCCTCATTACAGGTCGTGAGTGTAACTCCTCCTCCAGGCCACGGGGGTTCATCAGTGAGGGAGCTGCTTTTTGGATATTGATTCTATTTTTCTAACTCATCAAGAATGTATAGTGGTTGACCGGCAGACTTAGACACAACCTAAAACACTTGCTCATAAAAGGCAAACCCAAACATATCTACGAGCACTGACTTTACATGTTTTCCAGTCAAACAAGACAAACCTTTTTGTTTCTCCCTTTAACATAATGAACTAAAGAGACTTTTCACATCAAAAACGGTCTAAAAAAAAGAGAGAGAGGTGATGAATAAAGACTGTATGGAAACAAAACCAAAAAACCTGTAACCTTAAAGTCCTGCATCTCAGCTGGTGTGACACCTGAACATCATGATGCAACAGATAATCATAAGCCTAGATTGTGTGGGAGCACTACGGAGCGAGTGTTTTGTGTTGGGATGTATGTGCAATCTTGATGTACACAGTAAAAGCCAAGTTTTCTATCAAGTTGTGGTTAAATGCCATGGAGACACTAGTGTACAGCTTTGTGTGCGGATATTTGAAATATCGTGTCGTTTACATGATTTATGTGGAGGTTTTCCAGTAGGTGTTGTGCTTACTTCTGCATCTCAAACATTTTTTGCAAAGGCTCCTTTTGTTTCTGTCAAGAAATATCTGTTAATAGAAGGGTCTTTTAGAGTTCCTTGTTAAGAGAAAAAAAAAAAAAAAACTCCTGGCATTTACAAGTGCACTTAGTAAACTGAAATCGTTTACGTAGTTTATGAAGTGCTATGGATTGTATGCTGTTAAAAAAAATGCTCTTTTAAGAAAAACACTGTATGATTTACAGAGGATTGCTCCTTTTTTCTAACTAATAAAAATCATATTAAAGAAAATGTAGACCTTGAACTATTAACTTTGGCATTATTACCAAAAAACAAAAGGCTGAAATTGAAAGCGTTGCCTTCTTAAAATTGCAGTGAAATGACATTAAAAACTGCAATGGAACTAAATCTGCTGAAGCATTTTTCTCCAGATATCTTGTTTTTTTTCTGCTTACCGTTGAAGCAGCTTCCTTTTGATTCAGGGGGTCGTAAAGTGTTTCACTCATATGTTGTAATTCTGCACCAAATCTCAGAACGAGCGACACAGGCCCTAAACTAAAATAAAAAACAAAAATACACCATACTACAATTGTTCAATTTCTGGTTTATTTTTATTTTTTCTGACAAATGGAATTTAAAAACAATGTGCAAAAAAAAAAAATTTAAAAATGAAGATTTTATATTTGGTCTTCTTAATTGTTATTGCCTTAAAACGTATAAAAGATAGAAAAATATGTATATATATACACACATCGCTGGATCATGTGATTTTTAAGCTAAAAAAATTAGACAGTGATAACATGCTTGAAACAAACAGGAAGCTAAAGTGTAACAGTAAAGTTTGATCTCATTTCAAGAGGAAATTCAGATCGAAGTACTGTAAATGTGAGAAACACAAAGAAGATGAATATATACAGCTACACAAGGGTTAGAATGGCAAATAGTCACAAACACCATGGTAAAATGTTCTCAGTTTTTTCTTCAGTACATACATTTGTCAGATGTCATGTTAATTAAAAAATGCAGGCACAGAAGTATATTGATTTCGGAAAAAGATTTAAATCACAGTGAAAACTGCATGTCCATAATTAAAATGGGGTAGCGTTTCTGTCACCTCATTTTCTAGTACGCTTGAATCTTTTCTCTTTATTAATAAACACATCAGCTGATTTGGGCTTTTAAATGTTTTACATGATCTTGTTAAAAAACATGTTTTTTTTCCTTCTGACAAGAAACAAAGAGGGAACTTCAACTACACTTCAAAGAAATGCACATAAAATTACTGCATCAAGCTCAGATGTATCTGTTGGTTATCGTTTCTTTTTCAGGCGCCATCGTCCTCAGCCTAAAAAGAAATACAAATAACGAAAAAAGTTTTTTTTTTTTTAAATACAACACTTTTAGAAAACAGATTTTACATATTTATGTAAATTTCATTTGCATAAAAATCAAAGACCATTTCAAATTTTATTGTAGGAAGAGCGGAAGTAATTAGTAATTTTTTTCAAATGCTTTATTAAATTTTTTTTTTAAGCGTTTGAAAAATTACTATGCAAGTTTGCTGGGCCATAAAGTGTAACTCGGCCTTTAAGGCAGGTATTTGTTCTAAGCGGGTACCAAGTCCTGCAGTTTTTGGATAAACTTTTAGGTCAAAGTAGTTTGTTAAAACGGTAACAATAGAAACCACGTTCCCATGCAAAAACAAGCGCTTTCTGCATGGAAAAAAAAAATGTTTGGTGTAAACTTTACAGCCTGGCAAACAAAAACAAACAGGTAAAAAAAAAAAAAAAAAATACAGTAAGAAAAGAAGTTTTTTTTATTTTTTCAAAATGACAACTTACTTTCTTTTGTAATGGTGAGGGCATCTTCGAGTCCTTATTCCTGGAAGACAGAATTAAAAAGGAAGTACGGTATTTATATTTATCTTGAGGAAAAAAAAGTAGCATTTTCAAGAAGAATGACATTAATTTCATGACAAAATCCGATATACATAAAAGCTTTTTCTGAGGATGCAAAACATCAGATGGACTCACTGTTGCAGTATAGAAAAGTGACGATGAGGAGCAGGAGAAGAAGGCCGCAGGCTCCAGCCAGAGGGCCGAGTATGATTGGAGCACAAAACAAGGAAGGATCTGCTAAATAAAAGCTACTTTTACCACCATACTCTCCTTACAGCTGTGTTACAATGCAGATGATGTTTTTCTGTACTTAAATAAGGTTTGGAGTGTTTACCTGAATTGACCCTAATCGTACAGTCACAGCTTCTCCTAGTTGTTGATGCCTGGGTGGTGGCGGGAGCCTGGATTTCTGGTGGTTTCATTGTCGCTTTATGCTTCCCTTTATAAAGAGGAACTATATATAAGCATTGATATCCCCCACAACAAAATTCTGATGTGGTTTTTAAAGCAATAATTAAGCAAAACTTACCCTTAAGTGTAGTTACGTCCCCAAATTGTAGGTTATTTCCACCGACCAGAGACGCACAGCTGTATATTCCACTGTCTTTCTCTTTATTGAATTTCTTTACCGTAATAATGAAGGAAGGTTCAGAATACTTTACCGACAAGCTGTTGTAGCTGGCTCCTGTTTCTTTTGCGACACCAGTTTTGCTGAACGACCCTATGAACTCCATGCCTGATTTATCCAGCACTCTAAAAAGGAACTTGATTGTGATTGATCCCTCATTGGGAGGTGAACATTTGATCTCCTGGCTTTGACCCTCTCCCACTTCCACAGCAGAAGGGATTTCTGAATTTTGAAATAAAATGAGAGCAGTAATTAGTTCCCAATTTCTTCATTTTATGTACATGCTCAAGAAGGATTAAATTGATAAGTGTAAGTAAAGAAAAACTAAATAGAACTTACTTGGATAAAGCAGTAAAATCAGCAGAATCTGCATCATTTTTTGGTCCATTTTTAACCTCCCAGACAACAATAGCTGTTAAACCTGTCCCTTTGGCTTTCACTGAAAGCTGATGCAGATAGTTGAGTAAGATATCAAACCCCGCCCCAGCTGTAACCTTCTTCTCTGCTGTGTCGAATGGGATCATTGCAGCGGAACATTTGCAGAGCCCTCCTGCACTACGGTCGTGGTCTGCACAAGGTTTTGAAGTGGAGCCCACCAGAGCAACGCGTCGCTCATCTTCCTTTGGTTCAGAGCATCAAACAGTAGATTTTGATCCAAAAACAATTGGCACACTAACACAGCAATGTGTGGGTGGGGGGGTGGGGGGGGTGGGGGGGGGGGGGGTGTATAGTTGAAAGTGCAACTATAACTTTAAACTCTTTTTGCACAAATTAAATGCTTCACCTTGAAGTTTCCACCCGTTCTGACATTAACAGGATCCTGTCTCTGTGTGGGAATCTTGATGTGCTCTTTTTGGAAATAACAGCCTGTTCAGTGCTAAACTTTTGATACATTTTTTATCCTCTTTTTGTCGGTCATCTTTTTCATACATGTTCCCTCTAATGAAACATCATAATGGATGTTTCTTCTAATAAAACAGGATGATCATCCATTACCGTTGCATACTGATGATTGAAACCATCATCTATATAATTATGGGGGAAAAAAGACAACATTTAACATAGTTACTTAAACAAAACCACAGGTTTTGATTAACTTACTATGGTTTCTATCAAGATACGTGAAAAAAGAGATGAGGGGAAATGCTGATGCTGAAGAGCACAAATCATTTTAGTGACAGATGCAATTGTTTCCAGTTTTCTATTGACTACTGTGATTTTAAGACAGCGAATACACACAGATTAGACAATGGGCTCTATGCATAACTCCACTACTTCCTAATTTTAAGGCAGCTCTTTTTTTCCTGTCTTTTTCTAGGGGCTGGCCTCACTGATCTCAATTAAAAAATAGAGGAAAAAATAGAGATCAGTGGCTGGGCTCAATAACCATGACCAGACACACCTGGATTAATCACTTCATCCAGTAATAAGACAGGAAACAAAAGAGCTGCCTTGAGTTCAGGAAGTAGTGGGATTGTCCATAGGATCCATTACATTTTTCTTTCAGTTTTTACCCCAGAACCTCATTTATGCTTTACTTTTTCCAGAACAAAATTTCTTCCAGGTTTGTTTACAGCTGGAGATAGGGACCAGCAACCCTTGTGATCCTGCTTGGGATAAGCATGGCAGAAAATCGATGGATGGATGGAGGTTTTTTAAAAAAAAGACAATATTAAATACATGAAATTATTTAGTATAAATCTTTATATTTTAAAAACTGACCCTTAATGAGTGGCTGAAGAAAATTAATGGGGAAAAAAAGGTCTATGCACTAAGTTCATGGTCTAAGCTCTGTTTGCATGAATTACTGCATTAGTGCAGCATAGCATGGCATGGTGACCACACAAGCCTGTGGTCTCTGCTAGAGAGGTAAAAAAAAAAAAAACAGTTTGCTTTAATAGGGCCTTTCAGCTTGTCTAAATAGTTCGATCTGATGTCAATCTGCTTTCTTTTGATAATACCCCTTCTTGGGTAAACTTTAAACCACTAGATGGCAACAGCAACATGCACATGCCTATGTTATTTACTGAACATGAGAACCCTGAATGATGGTAAATATCACCACAGACAGATGCTGACTTTTAGCTTAGATTCCGGAAAACCAAAGAGCATTTAACGAAGAAATAAAATAAAATAAATTGTTTGTGCAATTTGAGCAACACATATGACGAAAAGTCAGATCAGCAGGGGCTCTTCTATTAAAGAGAAACCACAAAAGCTTCAGTTACCTTGACTTCATTTGTTTGCTTTAGTTTTAAGTAATTATGTAAAACTAGCTATTAATTAAACCAGAAAATTAGTAACACACATAGTTGACAGGGGTAAAGACTTTTAATATCAGAATTTGCAGAAGCCATACCCCTTTGAACTCCATTTTACAGTCACCATCTACTTTATTTGGTCTATCACATAAATAATCCCAATCTAAAATTGTTAAAGAATAAAATATGAACAAGTTAAACCAGTTTACCAGATTAATCATGATTGTGTGTTGAAATAATCATCAACTAATTTAATAACAGTTAACTGGAGAATACAGACTCTACATACATTTCCTGTGCTGAGAGAACAATCAACTCAGCATTAATTCATCCAAAGATTTACAAAATTATAGTTTTCTCATCTAACATAAAAACTATAATTGAAAGAATTGTCAAAAGATTAATCGATAAGAATAATCGATCACCAAAGCTCTGCAGCTGTAATAAAGGATTTTGCACTCTGCTGTTCTGTCAGTTCAGATGAAAGCAGGTCTTACTGTTGTGGGGAAGTGAAACTCTACAGACAGGGGAGATATGGCTGCGCAACTCAAAGCCCATCACATTTCCTGTGCTGTGATGGAAAATAAAAGCGCCGGCTTGTTAATGGGCAAAAGGAGTTCTGACATTTTGCTCTTCTGTGGGTGATTTCTCTTTTCCACTGGTGGGAGGAGCGAAAGGAAATATCAGAAAAGCAGAGGATTTTAAATTAGTTATTTTATTATTACCTCTACTGCTGAGCCTTTTTCTAACTTGTTTCATAACCCTGTGGGTGAATGTCGCAAAGCAGATGCTGTTTATTTCTACAAAGTAAATCGAACATTTATTTCAAATGAAACCCAGATTGAAGCATGTCTGGTTTCGGTCTTAGCACTGTTTTCAGTAATCAGGGGATTCTGTTGATGCTTTTTTTTGCCAAAGGGAAGACCAGTCAGAACAGACTCCATTAGCCCACTTCACCTTTCCATATCTTTGTTTCAGGTGTGACTCACCCACCAAGGAACACCTGCATGGGCTTCCCTGTCTTAGTCACACAGGGGGTCTCCAACCTGAAACTTGCATGTGTGAGTGTTTCATGTTGTGGGTGACCAGGGGAAGCCTGTGAGAAAGAAAAGACATCAGCCTGAGCTCTAAGGCAGAGGACCGGTGTGTGTGCAATGATAAAATGGATAGATCCTTTAGTACTATTCTGATAATCAGAGGCCAGGATGGGAAAAGAAGAGAATCAAGTGAAGAAAGAAGACCTGAAAGCCTGCAGAAAGATTGGAACATCAACATGTCTGTTCATCTTTTCTTTTTTTTTTTCTTTCTGGGACTTCCTGTAAGGACTGTTCAGTCTGTGGTAGGTTTTGGAACAAAATCCAACATTAAGCTCTCATTCTAGATATTTAGATTGATCTTATGTAAATTGTTGGGAGGTGGAATTTATATGCGAAACATGTGAAAATGTGTTAGGATAACATATCAGACGCTAAGCTTATGTTTAGATATATAACATGTATACAGGTCTACTCTTGCTATTTTTATATTATTCAAAGAAGAGATTCAACAAAAAGGCATTTCTCCAGAAGTTCATAGAAATGGAGTAAATAATTCAAATTTCTAACATTTCTAACAATTAGGTGTCAGTTCAGAAAGACGCCAACATTTCATTAGTACCATATATTTTTCCTAATGCTAAATCCATATTGAAATGGAAACTAATAAAGCAGATACATAAGGGTCAAAATACATAAAGTTATATTAGTTATACATTTGATTTTTAATAATTTTTTGTCTGTTTGTTTTCCTTAGGTTGATGACTGTAAAAATATTATTTTCTTTAAAGAAATAGAGCATTTATGTCTGATGTAGACAACATAAAAGTTTAGTGTTATAAACACTGTAACACTGAGTTTGAAATGTCTGTTTCTACCTTTATAAAAATCTCTATTTCTAGTGGATTTACTTTAATTGTGGAGGTTTACAACGTGCAGCTTCTGTGCTGATAGAAGTATCTTATCGGTGGTGTTGTCACATGTTACCATGTAGTTTATTAGTTTGTCATGTTTTGCTAATAAATGTAAATGGACTCAGATTTTTATAGTATAAACTCATGATAATGTAAAAGATAACTTTCCTCTGTTCTTTATTACAGTTCAGACAAACATCAAGGAATTGAAGTAAAGGAAAAATTAAGACTTTCTTTGAAAAGTTTAAACCAATACACTATTTGAAAATTGCTGCAGATTTTTGGTTTTGTATGGATAGATGATAAAACAGACGTAGAGAGACAAAGTGGTGGTAGCATGATGTGACCCTTTAAATTTTTAATTTCACTTAACTTTGCATTAAAGTTCTTCCATAATAATGATTAAATACACGGTTTAACTTTAGCAATATTGCTATACACAGCGCATGCAGTTTTCTGCTATTATAAAAGATTGGTTTCTGATGCATTTTTTATTTATTTTTTTATAACAAGGATATTTCTAGATATTTTGAAAAGTGTAAACCTTTGTAACGGCAGTATGAGTAGTTTTGTTATACCTAAACTGAGTCATTATGAAATTAATAATGGAACAAATACATATTAGAAATTTTTGTTTCAGTGTTTAACCCACAGTTTAACACAAAGCCTGCATAAGAACATATCAAAATATTTTTGCCTGAACCAAGAAAGTACGTTATGCCTAATCCTGCTGAATTTAACCAAATATTGATACCTAAGTTTTTAGGTATTCCCCGTTGTAACTTTTTTAAAAACAAATTGAGAAAAATTGTTAATAATAATAATAATAATTAGAATTTGTAAAACTCCTTTTTCTGCTAACTGTTTTACTTATTTACCGTTCAACTATTTAACAGAGTAAAAAGGAGTGTAACAAGCTTATACTAGCTGTTTGTTAGGGAATCTATTCGGGTTGCCAGACACTTTTAGACATGAAACACTATTGAAAACATTTTTAACTTAAGAGTGATGCTTGTTTATTGCTGGGTCAGTGCTATGAAGCCTACTTTCATTACAACCCTTCATCTGCCATACTATCTCAATAAAAGAACAATGACCACGAAAAAGTGTGTAATATAAAATATTAGTTGTTTCCTGAAGGTATAGTTTTGAAAATTTACAGTGACTTATTCTACTATTTTGTACTATTTATGACTTGTCACTGTTAGTTTTTTGCTATTGCAATAGTTTTTTAAAAAAGTGTAGGGGAAAAAATAATGGCCGGTCCACCTGTAGTTCTACAAAGCTACTATGAATTGTCTCACAAGCAAGTTTACAGTTTTTCAAAGCAAAAATGAAGTATCCTTATTTCAGCCAGCTAACAGGCAGTGTGAAGCAACAGAAAGGTGGAGGCGGACCTGTGGGAGT